GTGACAGAGCTGTGATTGCACGGGTGTGTGTCAGAAGGCTTTTCACAAACAGAAGTTGGAGTGGGATGGTCTGTGCTTAAAATTGGTGTAAAATGCCCCCTTGGAGCAGTGTGGATTTGAGAGAGTGGGATTAACGCTGTTTCTGTTGCTGCTTTCTCCCCACAGAGCCTGCTATGGTGTCCTCCGCTTCATCATGGAGAGCGGTGCCAAGGGTTGCGAGGTGGTCGTGTCCGGCAAACTCAGAGGTCAGCGTGCCAAATCCATGAAGTTTGTGGACGGCTTGATGATCCACAGTGGAGACCCGGTGAATTACTACGTCGACACAGCCGTGCGTCACGTCCTTCTCCGGCAGGGTGAGTAGCTGGGGTGCAGATCCCTTGGCAGCTCTGTTGGTTCCTTCTCTCAGTGCTTCAGGGCCAGGAGATCTCAACTCCTGGCATCCCGTATCTGCAGGTTGCCTTCCGTCTGTCACCGGCGAGGTGGTTACTCACGTGGTTTTGATGCACTGCTGATGTTGTGGAGTTGTTCACTTGTGCTACCACTTGTTCTGGCTCTGGAAATTTCTTCTTAGGGTTTTGCAACTAAGCTCTCACCATGAAGTTTGTACATTACACCTGAAGTAGAACTTTATTTGCATTTGCTTATGGGAATGGGCAATGGAGAAGGGGCCTTCAGCAGAATTTTCTGTAGCCATAGAATCACAGACTACTAAAATGGTTTGGGTTGGAAGGGACCTTAAAGCCCACCCAGTTGCAACCCCCTGCCATGGGCAGGGACACCTTCCATAGACCAGGTTGCTCCAAGCCTCATCCAGCCTGGCCTTGGACACTTCCAGGGATGGGGCATCCACAGCTTCTCTGGGCGACCTGTCCCAGTGCCTCCCCACCCTCGCTGGGAAGAATTTCCTCCTGGTATCCCACCTAAATCTCACCTTTTCCAATTTAAAACTGTTACTCCTTGTCCCTAGTCATCCCAGGTCATTTTCTTTTCCAGATACTGACTTGTGTCCTGTGGCTTCTGGGGTTGGTAGCAAGACAACTTAGAAATCAAGTTCACGTTGACTAGAATCATGAGCTGTTGACAGTTTGGATTCTAACTTTCTTGGCTCCCTGGGGTGGGCATACAGAACATGGGTACTACAAGACCCATGAAAGAGCACATGCTTTCCCTGACAGTCTTCCCCCACCGTTCTGCTCTGTCAAGTCTTCCTAGCTAAACCAGCCAAGCCTGCTCACACTTGTTCATCCCCCTGGTAAAACGCAGATGACTTCTGCATCTTAATTGGCTGCGGGTTATTTAAATGCAGAACACCTCATGTAGGGATACAAGTGTAGACAAAGCTTCTCTTCACCTTCCCTTCAGTGATGATACGATGACGAGTCAGAAGGGACGTCCTTGTGTCATTGCAGCCTGTTCAGTGCCATGTTCTGTGGTGCTGTGCTAAAGCTGCCTTGGGCAGGATGTCCTACTCATTGAATGATTTAGAGGCATTTGTCTGAGAAGGGATGCAAAAAAAACCCCAGTGCAATATCCTAGGAGGGTGAGCTGAGTTATCCCAGGAAGAACAGGGTTTAAAAGCAGGGTTAGCATGATGTAAAGATATCACATGTTTTCATCATAGTCCCAGGCTGCAGTTTGCAAAGGCAGTGAATTGGGTAAAGCTAAACACGCTGGTTTAAATTAAAAACTACTAGATTTTTAAGCTGTAGCACTTTTGTGTTAATTGGCTTGAGTCTTCAGTGTTGTCAGGGGGTGTTTTTGGCTCAGACAGCAGATTTTGTAACCTTGGGGCTTGTCACTACTGCATGTGTGCTTGGTATTTCGTGTTGAATGAACATGTCTGTGTTGTCTTGTCACTCTTTGTAGGAGTACTGGGGATCAAAGTAAAGATTATGTTGCCCTGGGACCCAAGTGGAAAGATTGGCCCCAAAAAGCCTCTCCCAGACCATGTCAGCATTGTGGAACCCAAAGAAGAGATCTTGCCCACCACCCCCATTTCAGAGCAGAAAGGTGGCAAACCAGAACAGCCAGCCATGCCTCAGCCGGTTCCCACTGCCTGAGGGGTAAGTGCCTGACAAGGGTGGGAGGAGCCATGCAGAAAAGGTGTCGTGTCACCCAAAAAAGCTATGCAGTAGCTGGGATACTGGGAAAAAAAGCTGCTGCATTGCACCAGGGGTAGGGGTCAGCTGGGTTGGGTTTAGAGTATTGCCCGGGATGGAGAGGCATGTTGCAAACTGGCTAAGCACACCCTTCCGTGAGGATGAGATGACGAGTCTGAAAGGGAACATCCCTGTCCAAGTGCCCTCCTTCATGTTGTGTCCTATAGCATGGATCTGGGGACCTTGGGTCATCATTTGAGTGACGTAGAGGCATTTGTCTGAGAAGGGTTCAGTGCCTTGGATGTTTCTAGCATTGTACTGCCAGCGTGCAGCAACAGCACAGCATATATATTCCTCATGCAGTAGATGTACTGGGATCCAGTTTAGGGTAGACTTAGAAGCCAAGAACGTTGAGCACAACGCGTAGGGTAGTTTAAGTAAATAATCAAGATTTAAGCCCCTGTTTCTGGGTTGTCTCAAATGAAATTGTTCAATTGCTGCTTGTAAAACTTCGCTCACTCTGTGATCAGCGCAGCAGGAGGCACAGGCCTAAAGGCCTCTTCCAGAAGATTTCCTTAGCTGCTGGTGAAAGCCAGGCTGTGTTCTCTGGCTGAAGTTGGCCTTGTGTGAACAGGGAGAGGTTGGGGGGTTGCAGGGCCATGGTGAAACGAGAATCTGACTAGGAAGCTCCTGTGGGAAAAAGGGGGCATCACTGGCTAAAATGCAAGAAGTGAAAGATGCTTAACTTGAACTCTTGGAATCTGTTTGTTTACCATTCTGGGTAGGAGAATGTTTTTTGGGAAATGGTTTGCCACCATCTCACTCTTATTTGTTTGGTTTTTTTTGTTGTAGGGTTTGTAACATCTGCAACCAGAAGCTTGACTGTCCTGAAAAACATCTCTTAATAAAATCACAAAAGACAGTGTTCTGTGCAGGTGCTTTTTTTGCAAGACGTATCCCAGGAAAGCCTTGCTCTCGCCTTTGGTGTGGAAGGAGTTCTGTTGCGTTTCTTCCAGGCTGTGTTCCCTCTTTGGAGTCAACTTACCATATCCTGACCCTAAACAGAGTGGGGACAAAAATGCTGATTCTGGATAGAGCTGGAGCAGCAAGCTGGTGTTCAGAGGGTCAGGAATAACACCCCTCAAACTGGAGCACTACTGGTAACTCTTCAGTTATGTACTGAAGTTCTCGGGCTGAGAGAGCTGGGGGTGTTCAACCTGGAGAAGGGAAGGCTCTGGGGAGACCTTACAGCACCTTCAGTGCCTGGGGGGCGGCAAGAAAGATGGGGGGGGACTCCTTCCAATGGCGAGTGACAGGACAAGGGGTAATGGGTTTAAATTGAAAGTGGGGAGGGAGGTTTAGATATCAGGAAGGAATTCTACCCACAGAGGGTGGGGAGGCACTGGGACAGGTTGCCCAGAGAAGCTGTGGATGCCCCAACCCTGGGAGTGTCCAAGGCCAGGCTGGATGAGGCTTGGAGCAACCTGGTCTAGTGGAGGGTGTCCCTGCCTGTGGCAGGGAGTGGGGCTGGGTGGGCTTTAAGGTCCCTTCCCACCCAAACCATTCATTGATACTGGTCCCATTCTTTGAGATTTCCAGCTTTTCAGCAATATCCACAGCAGTTGCAGTTGTTTATAGTTTTCTTGCTTAAACTGAAGTATTACTACATTCTACCAAAGGCTTTTTTCCCCTCTGAACATCCATTTCCCTTCTCATGGAGAAGCCATCCACTGTGACTTTGAGAGCTGTGCACCGAATGGGAATGTTAAGCTGCTCTTAGGCCAGGTGACACAAGTCTGTGGAGGTCCAGGGTGAGACACACTTCCGAGTAGGTATTTACATATGAGCTGGGGGGGAGACAAGTGTGCACTTTGCATTTCAAACCTTCTGTCCAAACCTTTGAGATGGAAATATGTTTCACTGACTGGGGAAGAACTTCTCTTCCTTGGAGGCTTGAGTAGAAATCCATCACTGTTAATTGGCTTTAATGAGCTGCAGGATAACACAGGTACTGATGTTGCTGACCTCAAGGCTGTTGATGCTGTAGAAGTGCGTAGTCTGCAGGCACAGAAGTGTTTTGACCTCTCTTCCGTTGCAGTATGAATTACTTCCGGTGCTGTCCTTGTCAGCTGCGGTCAAGCTGAAGCCCTGTAGGCTGAAGCAGTGAGATTTGGTGAAGTTTCAGGCAGAGATTCTAGTTCTGTCAGTTCCTTTCCCAGTGCTTTTCAAAGTCCGGTGCAGTAGTGGGAAGAGTCTCAGGCGCATCAGAAGTGACCACGTTGTGCTTATGTCGGAGGGTTGGAACTCGGTGATCTTTAAGGTCCCTTCTAACCCAAACCATTCTACGATCGTGCCTTTTTTTCTGTTCGGATTTCAAGAAATTCAGAACTTGTTCTGTTGCATTAACAAAAATAGTACAAGTCGGCAAACTTTGCTTAGGAGTAGGTTTTTCAGCCAGATTTCCATCTTCAGGAGTTTTTTCTGCAGGAGCTAGTCAGGCAGCTTGCGTACTGGAGTTTCAAACGGATGGTGTCAGGAACTGGTCTGTCTGGCAGCGTGTGTGGATGTGTGAGTCTCAGCCTTCCTGTTCCCAGCTTCCCTGACAGGCCTCCTGGAAACCCGCCTGGCAGGAGAGCTGGTTAAGCCTCTCAGAAACAGATGTGCCTTCCCAGGGTGTCAGAGTGGCTGATTTTGGGCTTCTGTGCACATCTTTCAGTGCAAAGCTTTAAAAGAAAGTTACTACATGTTAGAGTAAGTGATGCCAACATTAATTTTTGGTTTTTTTAAAATAATATTAATTGGGGGGAAAAAACTTGACAGACCAGCTTTATCACATTATAGGAGCAGGAGGTGTGTGAAAGCTGGAAGGCTGGAAGCAGTAGAAGAGTGACAGTGCAAAGCCCTTGCATGTTGTGTCTAAATTCTTCAATGCCCAAATGTGTTAAGTGATGATCAGCTAGAATTTGCCTGGTGTCCTCAGTAAGGGCTGGCTTTCCAGGAGATGGAAGATGAAGAGACGTGTGGGTAGTGGGTTTAAGAGTGGTATTGCTGTACCTCTCTTCCTGCTAGATCCATTGTGTGGTGAGAAGTTGGGGACAACTTTTGTGGGAACCCCACCTGCAGTTCTGTGTCCCGCTCTGGGCCCCCAACAGCAGGACACGGAGCTGTTGGAGCGAGTCCAGAGGAGGCCCCGGAGATGCTCCAAGGGCTGGAGCCCCTCTGCCCTGGGGACAGGCTGGGGGAGTTGGGGGGTTCAGCCTGGAGAAGGGAAGGTTCCGGGGAGACCTCAGAGCCCCTTCCAGTGCCTGAAGGGGCTACAAGAAAGCTGGGGGGGACTTTTCCCAAGGGCAGGGAGTGACAGGACAAGGGGTGGAACGGGTTTAAATGGAAAGAGGGAGATGGAGATGAGACATCAGGAAGGAATTCTTCCTGCAGAGGGTGGGGAGGCACCGGGACAGGTTCCCAGAGAAGCTGTGGATGCCCCATCCCTGGGAGTGTCCAAGGCCAGGCTGGATGAGGCTTGGAGCAACCTGGTCTAGTGGAAGGTGTCCCTGCCCATGGCTGGGGAGTTGGAACTGGATGATCTTTAGGTTCCCTTCCAACCCAAACCATTCTGTGAGTGTTTAAAGCTTGTTTGCCAGACCAGCTGGGGGTGGGACAAGCTCAGGAGCTTTATTGGTGTTCTGGGTGGATGATGTTCCTGGGCTGCTATGGTTAGTGCCAGAGATGCTTCTGTAACTCCAGTGAAGGCACTTGGTCCTTCTTCAGCATCAGCAGCTCCACACGGATGCGTGTGCCTGCCTGTCCCAGAGGTGCTGTTTTGGCACAGGGAAAAGGGGAGATGCCTGTGGCTTCGGTTTGCAGACTGAATTGCAGGCTTGAATGGACAGCAGGGTAAACCCTTTCCAACAGGACAAGGGCCAGCAGGATCTGATGCTGCTGGATTTTCCACAACTAAGCTGTATTCCCACAGCGATGGTGCAGGTTCTTGTGGTTCTTTCTCCTATTCATCTCAACTGGATCCCAACTTTGGGTTGTAGGGTCAGGATGGCTGATCCCTGTGGCTAACAGGGATCAGGTTTCTTCCTATACTGCCATACTTTCTTTTTAACTGAGCTCTTGTTAAATGCCAGGGCCAGGGGAGGGCAGTCGCTCCTCCTACCTGCAAAGCGTTAAAGATGCGGCAAGCTTGCCGTTTGGGGAGAGAAGTGTTAAAGTGAAAAGCCAACCTGCTACTAGTGTTCCTTTCCCATGACACAGTTTTTATGGGAATTCATCTGTTGGTGTGTTTTAAGTGTAATTTTGGTTGTGATTACCAGATTAAGAAGGTTGTGTTGGATTTGAAGATGGCAAGGAACCTCTCTAAGCTCTTTACGAGCGCTTTGTCTCCTCCAAAACCCTGCGAGTGACTGTGGCTGCCAGAGCTTCACTGAAAAATTTTTATTGCAAAATCATACAACTGACATTGTGTGGTACAAGAACAATAAAAGCCATCAGACGCCTGCATCCACATGATGCAAATTATTCACAATATCCCACAGTGTGTTCTTGCCTTGCCCCCACCCCCCTCCCCATCCTCCGTCACGTGCTACAGCGTGTGGGTTTCAGTGCCCTGATTCACTGGGTAGCGTCTAGCATACGCACTGGGCTTTCAGCATCTGGGTACATCCTTGTGGGTTGCCTCCTCCCAGCATGGCAGGGAAAGCACCTAGGAGTATGATCTGGGAAAAAAATACGGGATAAGGTCTCCCATTCCAGCTGGCTTAGATAGCAGTTAGGGCAGACAAGCTTTTCTGCAGTCATGTAACCTTGCAAACCTGGAGAAGGCATGGTTGGGTTAAACGTGGGGGTGCAAGCTGCTGCGATTTTTGGCTGTAGAAACACCTTAGAAAGAGATTTTGTGGTTGCAACGTAATAAATAAGTGGAGTTAGTGTGTGTGGAAAAAAACCTGCAGTATTGGGCTTCTATATAGGGAGATAAAGGAAAGCAAGGCAGTCGCTGTCCCTGCTTGCTTCAGATAACTAGCACTTAGATTGTGATGCAGATTTCTCCTTTTGATGATCTTCTGTTCCTCGCCCAGAGCCTGGCAAGGCTTACCTGGCCCATGCTCATGGGATCGTATCGGTAACTTCTTAAATAGCATTAACCTGGTGATATCCCTGAAAGATAAGAAATAACCTCCCAAGTCTAGGCTGGAGCAGGCTGTGAAACTTGCTGATTATCAGACATAAATATGAGTGTAACTATAAATACGTTTGTTTTTCAGCGTGCCCTTACCCAGGTCAGCCAACAGGGAGCTAAAGTATTGCGGAGGAGAGGAGCTTCAGAAAAAAGTCATTAGGAAGTCAGGTATGGCAGCTCTAAAGCTCTGTGATTAAAGGAAGTGGAAGTGAGCCTGATCCACCTCCGTGTGAGAAGCCAGCAGTCCTTTGGAATGCTGTGGCAGCTGGTGGGTACAGCCCTGGCTGTAACTGGGAGAACCTTCACGCTGGTGACTCTCCCAGCCCTACGTGCTGATGCAGAAACACCAAGAGAGGTGGAGTCGCTCTCTTTGCCTGGTACAGGATGTTTAATGACAGATGTTGGCCCAAGAGCCCCCTTGGTGATTCCCAGAGGGGTGGAGCACAGCCATTTGTCACGCAGGAGTGTTGAAGGGACCTCAGGTTTATCTTTGTAGAAGCCCATCTGCTCTTTGGGGTCTCTGCCGACACCCCTAGGCCACTCTGAAGTGTTGGGCAAAGCTGAACTTGGCTTTGCAGTGAGTGTTCTAGCTAAGGAGGTGATCTGCTGCTGTCAAAGCATCTAACAGTCATCCTGGGCTTCGGCAGAAGGGCACAACCCCATACAACCTCCCCTCATGTTGCCGTGGTCTTGTTCCCCTCCTAGGGCCACGGAGGGGCTCGGACCGCAGAGCCGGCCCTTTG